CGGCTCCCCTCCGGGAGGAATCCGTCGGAAGCACAAACAGTTCGACTGCAGCCATGACTGTGCACATAGGTAAAATGTTACTATTTAATTAATATAAATAATGGTACTTAGTTTTAAAAGATTACATGTTCTTTTTAAAATACTTTGAAATAATTCACAAAAAATAAATAATTCTAAATTAAATAAGTCAAGTTTTTTTAATCAAATTAAAATGTTGCACAATTTAAAATTCAGTACTAAACACAATACGCACTCAACACGATACACTAGCTAATTGGCACCTGAGTTGCTGATTGTATGTCGGATGATCACTCCTCAACATATTATCATCACTTTGCCTGATTAGGTGATAGCAGTATTCATAATGACTGGTCAATTTGATAAATTAATCAATATTTATCACACTGCACGCCCTTTTTGGTCATTATTCATAATGCCCAATTAATCACTTTGTCCGTAACATATACACCAAAATTAATTACTGAGAGAGGGGGGAACAAACAAACATTCTAGTGAAACAACAGTAGAAATAAATTGCAAAATGATTTTTGTACTTTAAATTTATTGATCACCTAGCTGCAAAATGCAATATGCCCCACCCACTCAAAAATAAAATTTTGAGTCATAATTGGTGAGGTTGGGTTGGAAGAGTGTGATAAAAACAATGGTCTTAGTAACTAAAATATACATTTATTGACCCAAGTATTTATAATAATGAAACTGCAATAAACAAAAAATTGCTTGGGCTTAAATTAAGAAGGGTGGGCTTTACAGTGGTTGCGGGTGGAGTCCTCACAGTACTTGACTAGTGTCAAAGAATATTCATGCCAAATTTGGTGCGGATACTTTGAATGGTATAGAAGCCATTACATAATAATGTATTGTACTGTACATACATATTTTGACTTATGTAAATAGAGATTTCCAAAAGTCACCAGAATCTATGTGCAGTTATTGAATTCTAGAGAGTTTAAGCCAAAACAAACAAAAATCTTTAACTTCATGCTTGAAGGTTTAAATGCAGGGTAAAGCTAGTGGCAGTTTGGGGTTGCAATGCCCCTCAAACCCCAATTCCAAATGTCAAAAATTCTGCTGAATAGTTAGCAGAGTCATGACTAAATTATATATACAGTATAGGGCCATTAAGCTGCGGTAAATGGGGTCCAAACTGCTTAACTGAGGCTTAGATGATCCACGGATTAACTTTGTAGCATTGTAAGATGTGAATCGGTTACAACGGTTGCCTCCATAATGCTGACACTCAGGGTGGATAAAACAGATTAATACTGTATTTGAATTTCATTGTAAGTTATTTTATTGTTTATTGATAAATAAAAGACTAATCTTCTATAAATACCTCTTTGAAGTTATAAGTCAGCATTTAAATATTTAATCCACAATAGTGCATAGCACGTCAATCACGGATATTCAAAATGCCAAAATGACAGCTGTCAAAAACCTGTCGAGTATTTGAGAGGCCACGTCAAAGTCTGTACTACCATAGTGTCAAAAAATTGGGATCCAAGCTTTTTGCATGGCTTAAGCGAATTCACAAATTACTGGCCTGCAGCTTAATGGCCCTACACTGTATATATATATATATACTTTTTCAAAATAAAGAGAAATACAGAAATATAAAGAAAGGACATTAGGAATGAAGAATGGGCAGCCTTCTTGACTGGCAGTTTGTATGAAATTATTGATATCAACCATAGGAATTAGTCAGAAAAATCAGTTCTCCATGTCCCCACAATAATAAATGTCTAAATATGGCCCTGTTTAGCTGTTGTCTAATTTTCTAATACAAATTAGAAAATTATTATATATAGAATATTCTCAATCTCAACAAGAAAATAAGTATCTGTATATAATGCATATAAAAAATAAATTTAATACAGTGGGTGATCGGTTAACAAACAAATCAGATAACGAACACTTTTGCAAAAGATTTTTATGTTCGGACAATGAAAACATGATCAGATAACGAACACCCCACAGAACAAACACAAGAAGAAGTGACGTAAAATAATGAATACCAATTGGTCTTCTCTTGTCTTTGGACAACAATTCAAAACTTTTCGGAGTGCAGGAGACATCAACATCGATGCTCAACCCAGTATATACCGATCGAATAGTATTACTCCAAACTTTGAAACTCTCCCTTGTAATTCCAGCCTTTTATTTTTCGGACAAAAATAATTCTTTTATGTATTCGCGAGACTATTGGGTAGGCACTCAAGTTTTGCGTCTGTTTTTCTTTTCGAAAGGTGAGAGTATAATAGCAAAAGGTAGAGAGTGGGCAGAAGATGCCTAATGTTGCTGATCAGTATGGCATGAACAGGTCTACAGTAGGCCGCAGTTCAATCTTATGTAAGAAATATACTGTATAATCAAGAAATTACAGTTCAGGCAGTTAAAGGAGTAAAAAAAATCACTTCTGAGAAATAAAGAACATCGAAGAGTTCATAATGGAACCTGAAATGGATCTGACAACAGAAGAACAAGAATTCTTGATTGAAGAACACCAAGAAACTCGGCGAGATATGTTTTCTTCTGAAAAAGAGAATTAATGCCGATATCTGCTATTAACCGATCAGCCACAGTATGTAAAAAAATACGATTTATTAAAAGGACCTATATCTTTAGATTGATCTGACTATTACTTAGATTTTAATGTGTATAATAATAAAATGTTTTATGTTTAAGGATTAAAAAATATCTTTACAGGTACTATAGTGCTTAGTGGTTGGTTTCATATGTACAAATTTTTAGCTGAATAAGTTTCTACTGAATTTTATACATTTCATCATGTTTTATATACTATGTTTTATACATTAACTCAGCAATAATAATAATAAAATTAGGATGACATTTTATAAATGTTATTCTAATAATGAAAAATGGTGCATTGTTATATAAGATTGCCAGATTTTATCAAGCTATACTAAAACTACTTAATAATCAAAATAATTTGGTTCTGATTATTTGTAGAGGTAGGTGGTTAGATCACCATCTCTTGATAAATTTAATCAAGAGGTGGTGACCTAACCACCTACCTCTAACCAAATTACTTTGATTCTGATTATTAAGCAGCTTTAATATAACCTGATTAATATTGTCAAATGATCTGTTAAATTTTAAGTATTGGATTGTTGTAACTTAGTTATATGGGATGTTCTAAGTTAAATAAAATTCATTATTTTGCTGTAAATAATACCATAAAATAAATATTGTATTTGAACAAATTTGAATATTAATAACAGCCAAAAATAACTCAATAGCAAAAATAAAACAAAACAGAAAGAAACAATTAATACAAGAAGAAATTAAATAATGTAATTTATAAAATGACTAAAGAATTTTACTTTAAAACTGAAGATGTCATAAATAACAATAATAATAAAGCTAAGATAGTTTCTAACATTAAAAAGAAAAAAAAAACAGAGTGACAAATTTTTTTTATTCCTAATTCATAACAAAAGTAATATGAAAAAAACTGTGTAAGAATGTATACTTTGGTCAAGTGTATTGGAGAACAAATTTATCATTGTTGTTCCTGCTAATGAACTTCAAATATTCAGAAATATTTCAAGTTTTTAAATAAGTAAAACTTTCCTTTTTTAAAAATATGAATATTTGTATAACCCACAAAACTATTTTTTTCAAGTTTGAAAATGAAGAAAATTACAGAAAATTTAAGACACTTACAGAGATAGTGCCTAATGCCTACTCCTATAAGTTATCTCATCATATCATATATTAATTTAATTATGAATTATTTAATAAATATTAATTTAAGACATTTATAGTTTAATTAAATACATTTCAAAATTTTTTTTTGTTAAAAATTAGAACTTTGTGATAAATAGCTTCAGTTGTATATGTCCTGTAAAACTATCAATAAAATTTTTTTCAAAATATTATTTGAGCAATCAAGATTTAAGGAACACTATCTAGAAAACATTTAAATGTGTAATATATTCTCTCTTCATAATAATTACAGAACTACAAATTATCATCTCATTTCATATTTTCAATAATAAGTATAATTTTAGTTCATATACAGTTATAAGTTTTACTTACCTAAAAGGAAATTCATTGATAAAACAATAAGCAGCACCTGAGGTGATGGCCAATAATTCTAAAAGTGTTCCAAAAAAATTTATTCCGGCTGCACTGTTTCCCTTAATTATTTTAACAATCTGTGGAACTTTAACTGTTCAGAATAAAAAAAAAATATATGTATATTATATACATACTAATATTTTTATTTAAAAAAAATTTAAAAGTTTTATATTTTAAATTCAATTTATATTTAATTAAATGCAATATAAATANCATTAAAAAGAAAAAAAAAACAGAGTGACAAATTTTTTTTATTCCTAATTCATAACAAAAGTAATATGAAAAAAACTGTGTAAGAATGTATACTTTGGTCAAGTGTATTGGAGAACAAATTTATCATTGTTGTTCCTGCTAATGAACTTCAAATATTCAGAAATATTTCAAGTTTTTAAATAAGTAAAACTTTCCTTTTTTAAAAATATGAATATTTGTATAACCCACAAAACTATTTTTTTCAAGTTTGAAAATGAAGAAAATTACAGAAAATTTAAGACACTTACAGAGATAGTGCCTAATGCCTACTCCTATAAGTTATCTCATCATATCATATATTAATTTAATTATGAATTATTTAATAAATATTAATTTAAGACATTTATAGTTTAATTAAATACATTTCAAAATTTTTTTTTGTTAAAAATTAGAACTTTGTGATAAATAGCTTCAGTTGTATATGTCCTGTAAAACTATCAATAAAATTTTTTTCAAAATATTATTTGAGCAATCAAGATTTAAGGAACACTATCTAGAAAACATTTAAATGTGTAATATATTCTCTCTTCATAATAATTACAGAACTACAAATTATCATCTCATTTCATATTTTCAATAATAAGTATAATTTTAGTTCATATACAGTTATAAGTTTTACTTACCTAAAAGGAAATTCATTGATAAAACAATAAGCAGCACCTGAGGTGATGGCCAATAATTCTAAAAGTGTTCCAAAAAAATTTATTCCGGCTGCACTGTTTCCCTTAATTATTTTAACAATCTGTGGAACTTTAACTGTTCAGAATAAAAAAAAATATATGTATATTATATACATACTAATATTTTTATTTAAAAAAAATTTAAAAGTTTTATATTTTAAATTCAATTTATATTTAATTAAATGCAATATAAATATATAGAAAGTTAAAAAGAAAATGTTAAATTAAATACAATCAACTCTAATTAAAACAAAGAGGGAAAATCGAGAAAAAAGTTCAATTGTCAAAAACTCAAATAATCCTTTTTTTGAAAACTAAACTAATTTCAGAAACTTCTGTAAGACTTAATACCATTTTGTACTGTACATTAATAAAACACAGCTATTTAAGTTTACCAAACCAACTTCAATTCACAGTAACATTCAAAATAAATGCAGATCAACTTTCATATAGACTGGAGCCTCTTTCTTCAAATGTCATTCTGTCTTTTCCTTGCACAGCTTTGAGAGATTATTCCACAAATTTGTATACAAACAACTGATATATAACCATCTATTTTCATTTTCTTCATTATATATAAAGCATCAATTTTTATTTTTTGTACTGTTCTCACATATTCTCATTTTTTAATTTTAAATCGAATCTCATCTTGTTAACTAAATTCTTTTATTTCTGTAAAATCTAATATTTGTAATAGAGACAAAACATTGCCAAAACTATACATTATATGACCAATATTAATTACTTTTAAAAATACAGTAAACTCTCTGATTGTGACATTTTTACAAAAGGACAAACTCTTCTTAAACAGAATTAAACACTTTCTTTATAATTAAAATCTCTCTAACAGTACCAGTTAAATCAAAAAAAATCCTACAGTGACCACTTTCAACTCACAAGTAATGTTTATTTGAGCTGACTTAAAATTAAATGATTTTGCTATCATACAAGAGTACATTTATTGTTCATTATACTAACTAAATTTCAGATGAAGAGAAGAAATCAACTAGCAAATGATTTCATGCAATACAGTCGACCCCCATAACACTGTTGATAATTCCGTTTTATACGAATTCCATGTTGTACGAGTCACTTAGATTTTACAAATACGTGAGCCGTTCACAGCCCGGCACACGTACAGTAGAGCGTCGTTTATCTGAATCAATTGGGGACTGCAGTTGTTTGGATAACTTATTTTTCGGATAACCGATTATATACGAAAAAATATATTAACCTAACCCGTGTTGAAATTTTTCTCCATTGTGTGTTGCTTCGTGTTGAATTTTCGTTGATGTTAAGCCTAATGTATACTTTTTAAAATAATAATTGTTGGCTATTGTAAAAATTATTTCTATTTCTTACAAACAAAACAAATATATTGAAAAATATAAAAACCAAAAAATATATACTTTAGAAGATGATCTAGTATCAAAAACGTTTGATTCAGCACGACACACAGTCCTCAGAAAAACACCACACAAATGTGCCAGTGCTGTCAACTAAAAAACACACCAACAAAAAAAATATTGGAGTAGCCCAAGATATAGCCAAAGATTGCAGCACCACAGCACTAGCAAAAATTTAAATTTGCCAACTGGAATGCTTTTGGATAACCGATGTTTCGGATAAACTATGCTCTACTGTATTTTTAAAATCTAAGTGACTCGTACAACATGGAATTCATATAAAACAGAATTATCAACAGTGTTAAGGGGGGGTCGACTGTACTGATTTTCATGAAATGAACATTTAAGAACAACAATGTTGTTGAAACTCTTGTTTGACCACTTTTCAGTGGTCAAATCAAAGCAAAATTCAAGTGAACTTTTGTATGACTCTAGATGTTCAGAAATGTAACTAGGCATGTAAAATTACACTCTCATCATATTCTTATATCAAGAAGCACAGAACTAATTAAAAACTAGTTTCAGCAAATTATTCTTTGTTGAAATTCTGAACTATTAATTCAATCAGAACAGTAACATTTGTAAATTGTAAGTAGATTATAAATGGTCTGAAAAACAGAGAATCCAATAGCTAAATGAAGCTTGTTATTTGAAATATGATGATGCACAATTTTACAACCTTTGTTTCATTGTATTCTTTGTATATTAACTGATTAAATGGTTTGTCACTTATCTGTCCTGCCAAGGAATCATGAAGAACAAAGTGATCTGATGTATTTGGCAGCAGCATGTCATTGTAAAACCTCTTTACTTTGTTTTTGTCAAGTTTTCTAGAACACAACCATGTAGCAACAACTGAAGGATTTTTGAACATTTGATCTTGGACTTCAATTCTCAAGACAGCTGCTTCTTTTAACTCTTTAAACATAAAATTGGCCAAAATCAGCCTTATAAGTTTGAAATGAAATCACCCAATGAAAAAGTTGTGTAACTAGTTTTTCTATATAAGTTTCCCTAGTAGCCTGAGGAGTGAAAACAATTTAGTCTCTAGCTACATAGTAGGAGAAAGTTTTCAGAGCTTAAAGAGTAAAACATACATAACTGAAAGGAGTTTGCCAGTTTTCAAGATCATAACCTGAATTGTAAAACAAGCTAGTAGTAGCATTTCCTATAGCCATTATTTGATAAACAACTTGATATTTAAGCATGCATCCAGAATGTGTTTCTAGTATAGTGCCACTTTGATCCATTGAACACCTGCACATCTGCATTCTAGTCACAGTATTCATTCATGTCAAGAATGAATTCAATCACATTGTCTTCAGTTCATTTCTGATTTTCAATATAAACCAGTGTGAGTGTGATTTTATGAGACATAGCATGGAACTTTTTCTTGAAAGCATGAATCCAACCACATGATGCCTCAAAATGTCTAGATTCACATCGACACCCAAATTATAAAGTTGCATGAAGGTTTCCTTGTATTATTGAATTGCTTCAATGTATACTGTGAAACAAATTCAGATTTGTGTCTAAAATTTTCTCTGCTGTTGATTGTTATCTTAATATTGAACAGTTGATTAGATGATTTTATTAATCCACAAAACTTTTATTTCATTGATTGTTCAGAATGGAAATAGACTTAAATTTGAAGTCCCACAATAAATAATTATTTCATACATCTTGTCAAGAAGAATGTAACTGTCATTTTCATCTTTTAAAATTTGAAAACAACATTTTTCACTACTTTCATTCATCTAAATATCACTGTCATGATCTTTAAAAAATCTCATATTTTTCAATTAAATCATTAAGGTCATAATCCAGAGTAATGACAATTTTCACTTCATAACTCATAGCACAGGTTCTTAAATATTTCTTCAACAGAATCAGATACCTTACAATAACTTTGAAGATAAGATAACAAACAGACAAATAACACCTTATCTTTGCCAAGAAATATATTTATTTCAAAACAAACGTTTTCAGCCTGATTTACAGGCCATTCTCAGGTTCAGAACGAAATTGGAACTAAAGCATTCCATTAATAGAATACAAAATTCAAATTAAAAAACCAAATAACCAACAGAATAACATAAAAATAAAAAAAATATGTACATAGAAGTACAGTGGAACCCCGGTTAACGAACTTAATCCGTTCCACGACTCCATTCGTTAACTGAATTGTTCGTTAACCGAAGCAATATTTCCCATAGAAATTAATGCAAATGCAATTAATCCGTTCTAGTCTCCGAAATTTTTGTCATTTTATTTAAAATATACAGTAATTTTCTTTGATGAAAATGTAGGAAAACGTAGTATCTATCATTACAGCAACAAACATGTAAACTTTGTTTAATAAAATAGCACTGTAATAAACTACAACATACCTTCGTTTGTTGTAGTTGGTGGCAGAAAAGTGGAGATATAAGAACCTTAATGCTTAGAAGGGAAATCCCCTCCAAAAAATAACGGGTAGCACTTCATCGGAAGATTCTTCGAGTCAAAGTCTTTTTCGGTAAAAAAAACACACCAGTGGCTAAGTGGTCTTCCTTGAACACGGGGAGTTCAAGGAAGACCACTTAGCCACAAGGAACACATGGGTTCGCACTGCGCTCAGACGGGCTGGCCACGTGGAGTTTTCCGGGATTTCTCCACGTCTGTAACACTTAAATAGGGGCCAGTTTCCCTTAAAAATACCTCCCAGAAGGCATTACCTCTAGTCAGATCGCCCAAGTGTTGCGTTGCCATAACTTAACAAAGAAACAAACTCTTTCCGTAAGGAACAAGAAATTGATCTAAAGTTGATTGTCTTACTCTTTTAATCAAAATTTTTCTCAAATGCAATAACGCATTGTAGTTTATATTGCGTTGTTGTTTTCTATTGCCACTATGACTTTTTTCTTTCTTGGATGTCATATTGATTAAATATATAAATCACAAAACTGAAAAAAGAAGTATAGCACAAACACTTGGAAAAGCAATGCCTAATTCGCACATGCCTAACACCAACTAAAATTTGACACAAAATACCGTTACGTTCGTTATCCGAGACAAAATTTTTGCAAAATAAAAGTTCGTTAACCGATTTGGTCGTTAACCAGGACGTTCATTAACTGGGGTTCCACTGTATTAAGAAATACAGTTACTAACAAACAACATAACACCTGTAACAAAATTACTGTTATTTCACTAGAATATTTATTTTCTCCCATACTATGTTTAGAGGATGATTATTTTGGCATTTTCACTGTTTTTTGCTGTTGTTTTGGTGAAAATGCCAAACCCCACAAGTTACTGGCCAGAAGTAACATTTATTATACTACTAATTGTGTTCAAAGGATGACCGTAAAATGACTTTTGGATGAACCCTTTTCTTTCTTCCTTTTTAGTTAGAACATGTTCTAACTAAAAAGAAAGGAAAAATTGTTCAATCAGGGATGGATTGAATGGTTAATCCTTGTTTATATCACTACTAATATTTGGCAACACTAGCATTATGCAAATCAGTTATCTATCGTCATGAGTCTGGCAAATTTATTGTACAAATATTTTCTGTATTATGGTTTAATTAAGCATTACAATAAGTACCTTATTATTTTTTACCTATTTATTTATTTACCTATGTATTACATATTTTATTATAGAATTTATTATTAGTTCATTGGGG